AAGATGTTGGCAAGCCAGGTAGTGCAGAAACTCCTCTAAAATGCATACACCATATGCAATCTGGATGATCTCGGTGAGTCTTGTCAGATCTCATAAATGTGGTAGTGAAATGGGGAGGGGGAAGGTTGGATTAGGGTGCAGAGAATGGACAGGGGGGTCGGCAGAAATCTGCGGATTATTGGGAAATTTTAATCTAGTTTTTAACAGAGGGGGATGAAATAGATAAGTAGGCAAAGAGAGATGGAGAGAGAGAGAGAGATCATGGGCATACAAAGGTATATTTAAAGGGGTCATGAACTGAGAAACCAAAATTCCCTTGATCTGTCAAAACAGGACAGAAAATGACCTATTTCTTCTAAATTATGTTTTTTGATGTAAAAATCTTGATAACATTATAATTGGTCCTCAGCGAACAGTTCAAAATAATAAAAGGCAGTTCATGACCCCTTTAATGTTTTGATAAGATTGGCCAGTTTGTGAACTCACCTGGCCTGTGCTCTCAGACAGAGAGTTCCTCAATGAACGTCGTCGAGTGACAATCACAGAAGTCTTGTAATCAGAGCAGCTCATGTCATGGGTGCTCAAAGGCCGTGAAGGCCAACTAGCTGAGAGGGAGGCTTGTTCGTGATCCGGGGACAAGGATTCAGTCTGCTTCACTGGCACAGAGACCGGAATGACCAATGGCATGAGGCTGTCATCTCTGGGCCGCTTGGCACTCACCTGATCCACCTCAGCTGCCCCTCGACCTGGACCTGTTGGGGCAACAGGGGGGCTCCAGGGCCTGTGTGGCTCTTGCTGACAACACACATGATTAACACAGTCAAATTAATGGTTCAACAAAAGTCCTAAATCTCAGCAGAGTGCATCCTTCCTCCGCTCAGTAGACAATTGACATGCATGAAAGAAACGAGAGTGCTTAAGAGCTGATATATTAGTACAGGAAATGAGGTTAGCTCAAGACTATTTTCAAAAACATCTTAATGAATCAACTGCGACCTCATTTCTGCTCCAGGATGAAAAATCTTGCCCTGCAGACCAGCAGCAGACTGCATGAGGATGTATAGATATTTGTCACAAGTGAATAACATAATGGCATGCCAGCACAGGACAATACCTCCATATAACCTGACTCTCCTGTGGGTATGTTAATGATTAGAGAACGGGTTCCTTCTATGTTAGGTTTACTGAACTGCATTCATACTTCTCCAGGAACTTAAAAAAAATAACTATACAAAAGTGGCACTCTTAGCAATTTCACAATGCCTGCAAATTTCGAAACCTCATTTAGAAAAAAAAAAACAATGATCTTTGAGTCAGAAAAAAGCATTCTGGGAGGAGCACTAAACCCATGTTTCCCTTATTGTGAGAGTGATTCCTGTTTCTCCTCATTGCTAACTCTAAGCAAAGCATGATGAGAGCAAAGAAAATAAAACTACTGAAACTTCATTGACATGTTGTGGAAAAATGCAATGCAATATACGTCACTACTACCATGTGTCTAACTGGAAGTTGCATGAAAATCTAGAAATCCCTTAGGATGTGGCTTGTCTTATCTGAACTCCGGCCTTGTTGGCACCGCTAAGGTATTCAGCTTAGTACATGAAGCCCTTGCAGCTCACTCACCATTGAGAAAGAGCTGTTTTTCAGCCTACATTTAGAGTAGGGGAGGTTTAGAGGCATAAAGTGACACCCGAGACCAAAAAAACAAAAACCTCACTGACTTATGTACCTACTCCTTTTAAGGAGCTGGAATCAGCTGACCTGAGATTTGCTTTTTACTGGACCGTTCTTTCTGTACGTTATCTAGCCCACAGATCAACAGTATATATGTACACACACCCTTTCTTTGTTATCATCCATTGGACGTCTTAAGGGAGTGCTGCTGTCCTTTTCAAAGTAAGTTTATGTAACAAGGAAAAGCAGAGTGAACTAAATAGCGCGGCCCAGAAACACTTAGATCCCCTCGTTAAATTTGACTGCTAATTGCGCTAATTCTCTGTGCACAGTAAAAGAATGAACAAACCAAGCAATTAACACTAGTCCATATATAAGCAACATCTACTGCAAGAGGATGAAATCTCTTAATCTCCCATTCTAAAAAAAGAATTGACTCAGTGACACTGCAAAATCAAAATTAAGAAAAGCTGTGCTTTTGGGCATTGACAAAAGAAAATGCAGCTCTTTATGTACGTCAGTGTTTAGGCATCCTCAAGAGGGCCAGTGGGCTGAGGGTGGGGTGCACATGCTGGTATTTGTATGAGGAGTCCATCATTTTTTTTGGCTCGAGAGATCATGTGACCTAATGGTGACACTCAGTGCCTGTACTAACTTTACACTCCCCTATAAACTGAGAAACCTGCAGAACCTGTATGCATTTGAAACAAGTAGTGCATCCGCACTAGGGGTGGGAATCACCAGTGGCCTCACGATACGATATTATCACGATACTTGTGTCACGATGCAATATTATTACGATTTTAAATATATTGCGATATTCTGCAATATATTGCAATTTATTACCTTTTTCCAACTTCAAATTATGTCCCCAAAGGAAAACTTTGACAACATCTGTTTTAACTAAAAAGAAACATTTCTCAGTTTGTTTATCTCACTTCAGTTTTATTGTTGCAGTGCAAAATGGGATTGTCAGTTTCAGAACTCAAAACTTTCCCGTTAGTCTAAAAACAGGACTCTATAAAATGTTTCTGGTAATCAAATGAAGGCATAAAATATTAATTTAATTTATCCTAATCAAATGAAAATTAAACACTTATTTTTTGACAAACAAAGTGCTGCACATTCATGAAAACCTGTCATAAATGTTGTATGCACCTGGCAAACTTAACTATTTGTATTACAGTCTAAGTCTAGTCCACCTTAATTAAATGTAAACAGGTATGCACTGCTGTGCTACTACAGGTATTTTGAATAATGCAACTTGAAATTGTACTAAAGTTGTGCAGACCCTTCAGCAATTGGGGCATTTGAAAGTAAATTACTGTTAAATTTAAATTAAATTAAAT